CCGTAAGTGATGTGCCAAGTCATCATCTTGGCTGGTAAGCCACCAGTAAACTGAAGATGGGAGGGAGGACAGCTGACTTATTCTTCTAGAGAAACATTCATCAACTTCCATATTCAGTTATGTCAGACTGTCATTTCTTTGCAAAACCATCCCATCGTTTCTCCTCTCTTATAACTAAGCAAACACTGATGCAAGATTCTTGTTGACATGAGGCTCAACTTGCCATAAACTTAAGCTGGTGATTATTGAATAAAGCAGCGCATTAAATTTACCCTCGGTTTCTTCCATTCATTTGTCTAAAGGTAGAGGAAAAAAATTAATAAAAAAATTCCGGAAACCACTTTTATTGACTGCTGGGATGAGTTGGCTTGCAATTTATTTGATCTTATAGAAAGAAGAAAAACTTTAAAGAGGCAAAAACCCTTGCTTGTCCTGAATAAGTCTGGATCGATTCAGCAGAATTATCTAGCACATACGATTCATGCTGAGTCCGGTTGACCTGTCCACACCCTTAATGGCCCATTTCATAATCACATAAACGCTTGTCACACAGTCTCATTGGACAAAATGGGTTCTTTTTTCTGTAAACAAGAAAGGCAACTGAAATTATGTCTCACAATCTGATAAGACAACCCATCTTCTGCTAAACATTTGCATTCTGCTTCACTTAAATGCAAAAAAGTGGGTGTACTTTTTGTACTCAGTGATATTATCACCATAACAATGTCAAAAGAATGCTGTCCGATGTGTTAAACTGCACCGATTCAGATGCACTACCTGTTCTACCACTAATTTACCATCAGGAAAGAAAATAAACGTATATTCTGAAACTTAAACAGGATTTCACACAAACACCTTCATTTTTAAACTCAATATGCTGTATAATATGTAAGTATGTACATGTATGCAACTTTTAACAAACATAATTTTGGAAGTTTTCATTGAAATTATACATGGAAATCAACATGCATCTTAAAATTCAGATTTGAAAGCACAACAGTGAAAAAAAACAAATGACAGAATTCAGGCTACATAAAGCTTGTATTTGTATTACAAGTTTAGTACTTGGATTCAGCTTTACTGTAAAGTAAACAGCTTACAGCAGCTTTGATCACCACGAATCAGTAAACACTGTTTATGAGAACACAAAAATATTGCTACAAAGATTTGACAAATGAACCAATTAATTTACCTAATAAGATCAAAAGTACTACACATGCATACACAAATTTAGACTACATATTTAAGACCATCATTTTCACAGAGTATTTCACAAGCATTAAAACACTTCCACAACTCCAAACCTTTTTGCAAAAACAAAAATAATAATAAATAATTTGTAAGAATTTTTTAAGACAAACTTCACAGGAAACATGAAACTAAAATACTGTTTACATGCAAGTTCTTACAGCAGTTTATTTCAACTTAGTAATAGACTTCAGCTCACTTAACCCCCATAACATAAAGTTTTTATCAGGTCAAGAGAAGAAAATAAAGAACGATACTCACTTGAGCACTGAACGCGTGTCTAACCCTGATTAAGTAGGCTAAGCACTAAGCAAGAAGTGCGTAACTTTCCTGACAGCAATTTAAAGCTGTGCCAGCCCTGATTTCAAAGTACACCCACTCATGACATCACAACATGGTTAACACTTCACAGGCAGAGGAAACAGGCACAGAGATGTTTGACGGTAATTGTAGACCACTTGGAAAGAACTCAAGACAGGATGCAAAATGTGGGACTTTTAGATAAGTCTGCTTTATCCGAAAATGTTGAAGGAAACCTAAATTTTATCAGTCTGCTTTATACATGCAATCCATTCTTGATTTCAAAACACAAGCGAATGCATGTTCCAAAGAAGAGACAAACTTTGTTTCCTGGCAAGCATTACACTGGGATTGGTAATGGCTGAAACATTAGTCTCATGAGGGAAACTAATGAAAACATGATCAATTTAACTACTTCGAGGGTAAGAAAACACCAGACAAAGGAAATAAACTTTGAGATGGGGATCCATGCACTTCATGCATAAAGTTAATAACAATAATTTACTTGGATATAATTAATTTATAGAATATTTAATGCTGAATACTCCACTTCACAACAACAGAGCAAAACAGCCACCAGCATATATTGATAATAGACAATAGAAAAATTTTCAAAATAGCATTTGGACACTTAACTCGCACTTAAATGTATTAGACCACAAAAAAAACTAGTGGCATCGGCAAATAAGCTATGCTTTTCACAGAACTACCTTTTATGAGGCATTTTTGTTTTTACTTTTTATCAGCTGGCCTCAGGGTGATTTTTTGAGTCAAAATCAGAAGTCTTGTTTCTCAAATGTGCAAGAATACAAGATCCATACTTGAAAATGATATGACACACAATCATACGATTAAATAACACAGCTAGATAAATAAAATAAGTTCAAATGGTTTTTCTTTTTTAATAAATCTGCAAAGATGTCAACAATTCTGTGTTTTTCTGTCAATATGGGGTGCTGTGTGTACATTAATGAGGAAAAAAAATTAACTTAAATGATTTTAGCAAATGGCTGCAATATAACAAAGAGTGAAAAATTTAAGGGGGTCTGAATACTTTCCGTACCCACTGTATATACACACAGTATATACATATTTTACATACAGTTTGATGTCTTGTTTTATATATATGTATATGTATGTATGTATGTATGTATGTATATATATATGCGTGTGTGTGTGTCAAAAATATAACAAGACATCAAACTGTAAGTACAGTTTTTAGGACTAATAAAAGAGCATAAAGCAATATGAAGTAGTATGCACACATTTTAAGTGTGGAAATTTGTGTTCACACTAGCAGAGTAACTACAGATGGGAGGAAGGTTAACAACCAGAATATTAACTTAAAAGTGTCTGGTGCTATTTAAAAAAAAAAATTTTTTTAAATTGGGGGAGGTGGGTGCACTTTACTATAAAAATTGTTTTGCTTGGAAAATGTGTTTGTGTTGTTTTAAAAATGAATAACATAATATGAAACTAATTGATATCCACTGGAATTAAAGTAGGTTTTAAGTGTCCAAATGCTTTTAGGGGAACACACACACTACATGTGTTGTTTCTGCATTTATTGTGCTGTAACAGCTGTACACCGATGTGTCTTTTTAAATAAGTCTAGTCTATAGAACACGATAGTATTCAAAAAGGAAAAGTTAGTCACAAAACATTCTGCGGTTCACATAAGTTTGTAAACTCTACTTTAGTACGGAATAAGTCATATGCCATTTCAGTACATAACACAACAATCCTCACGGTACTTCAGAAGTACTAAATGAATTTCTTACCTCAACAGCATCAGCTTCTAATCTTCCGTTTCCTTGGACACCACGTAAATCCACGAAACCTGTCCACGGACACGACGAAAAGTCCTCCGTGTCTCACTGAGCCCCAAACAAAGCTAAACTCAAGACGCCGACGAAGTAAGTTAGTGTTGTCAAGAGGACAGACTCAAACGTCCTGACGTGCTGGACTGTCCTAAAGTCCAAGCGCACTCATCTTACTGTACAATAGGGAAACTTTGCGATAGGTTTGCTTGCTCTGTCGCACGCAACGCGACGCTAAGGCATCACTGAGAACTGGTTCGTCTGAGCCACCTTTGGACCGATACGCCAACATAGTTACGGACGCATGCTAGAACGTTTCAAATCGGCGGAAGCGAGTAAACAAACGAATTATTTTTTTTTAAAAATACACCTCTATCCAGGGACTGGACTGGAGAGGTAGTCCACGGACTGCTTCTCAGGAAATACGTCACAGATATACGCAATGAATTGCGACGTCAAGACGCGTCCTCTTGAGCGCGTCACGCGGTGAGCGATTTGCTTGCGCCATCTGCTGGATAGACGCGCGTAGTTCACTTCAAAAACACAAGGTTTTTGTTTGTTTGTTCGTTTGTTTTTTGTTTGTTTTTTAAGACTAGTAACAAAAATAGAAAACAAATATAATACATCAAGACACAAAATGCTTACGATATAAATATTGTATGGGGGTGATTTTTTTTTTATACTTTATTAAAAGCTTGCAGGCGTGTGTCCATTCAAATTAAAGTTCACTTCATATTTTGGGAAAATGAATCACCTGGATATTTAAATATACTAGTTTGTCCATGTTATGTAATTACAAATATATGCTTAAACCAAAATCGTGACATTGCTGCACCCCATGTTCACTTCATTGTGGTATTTTGATCCAACTAATATGATTTCAGGCTTTAAAATTGTGATTTTAATATTTTGTCCAATGAATTAAAACATGCAAGATAATAACATGAAGGATGTAGTTATAGAAATGACCCATACAATACATAATATATATGATCTGTCAGTTTGACACAAAAAAAAACAATTATTAAAATTAAAGCTCATTATTAAGAATTTCACTTGAAGTATTAGCATGATTAAGATTCGTTTATTTGTTTTTCTATTTTTTTTTTAATCAAATGCATTTTTTCCACTTCATATTTTCCTTTTAGAGCTTCTCCAACCTTACAGACTTTTAAATAAAAAATAAATAGCCTAATCGAAATATCTTGCAAGTACTCCAATGACGTTCCCGACAAACCTTGTTTTGATTTTTATGCATGTGTGTACGCTACAATGCAATGTTGCTGTATTCTGTATTATGCATTTTTATGCTACAACTTTTGCGAGAGAAAAAAAAAGTAATAGTGGCGCATGCGCGGTTCACTTTCAAACCCCAAAAATGTGTTGTATTTTATGTTCGCAGAATAGACTGCATTGCATCCGACCACTGGTGTTTGACCATTCTTCTTTATTTTATCATAAACGTGATCATGAGACTCTCTGCGTATTTTAGAAAATTTAAATAGGCTATGACTTTCTTTATATTAAGCACAACTGCAGTCTTGCCACTCCTCGAGTAGTACGAGGAAGCAAAGCAGCACTTCAAGTTGGAATGCAAATCAGGCGGGTGAGTGCGTCCTCTCTCGCCCATCAATGGGTGCATCTACCCACAGCTGACTTAATGATGCAACTAATGAAGCTCCTGAAGCCCAAACTCATTATGGTCACGTCAATCGGGATCACGTTTCAAAGTGTATATTTCATATTTCACTGCTTGCTTGTCATTATGATAATATTCAAGCATCGTTGGTTTGATGACCAAAAGTCAAGTTATGTTTTATTTGTCAGTACAGTAGTCTTTGTGAAAGGCAATGTAATGGACTGACAACTCGTTATGTAGACGGACAGTTCGTTAGCTATTTGTATTGCATTATGAATGCATTAGAAACTTTTTAAAAAGCTTTTTTGCTCCTTAACCCAAAAGCTACAGTTGTGTCATTCCTATTAGATTTGTTTGCAAAAGTCTTGGACATAAACACAAATCTGATGCATTATCATATGGTCCACAGAATAATTTAAAATCTGGTTTGTTTACTGTATTTGTGCATTACTGAGTCTGATTAATCTGTGTACGGAAGCATGCAAGATATGGTGGACACTTTAACATCTGTGGCATGGTGGATAGTGTACATATTAAAATGTATTAGAACTGCAGTACTCATTGACACAGGTTTAAATTAGTTCTCTGTGCCTTCTTGTGTGCCCTCACTGTTTTTTAATTTAAAGGCAACAAGCCCAAAATCTTTGACATGCAGTATCTAAAGGTCAGTGTTTGGGAGTAACTAGTTACATGTAATGGCGTTATGTAATTTAATTACAAAAAAAATGTAACTGTAATCCGTTACAGTTACTGAGAAAAAAAAAGTCTAATTAAATTACAGTTACTTGTGAAAATTTTAACAATTACAAAGGGGGTTACATCTGAATATTTTCACACACACACACACACACACACACACACACACACACACTCACATATATATACAGATTCAGTTGATTTTTTACCCTGACTGCTCTAAAATATGAGACACCGATGTTTCAGGAGTTTAGGACACAGAATAGGACACATGCTTATTCAATAACTGTTTGTTTCCTATTTGGGTTTATGTATATGCATTATTTTTTAAGTTTAACTGTTTTTTCCAAGGCATTGTTAGATGCCAGTGTTTCCTGTCATAGCTATGCAAAGATTTGATTTAAAAAACAGTATCAAAGCTATTCAACTTTCTTGTTATGATTTCAAGTGATGAAGGATTTTGAAAGTCTGACAGTGTTGAGCACTACTGTAAGGTTAACCCTGCATGGTTTAAATGTTTGAAAATGATTAACAGTTGAAAACATTTGTTAGAAAAGTAAAAAAAATATGTGATCAGTTGCATCACTTTAATAAAGTTATTGAAATAGATATACTTACTTATTACATTTTAAATAGGGTAACTTGTAATCTGTAACCTGTTACATTTCCAAAGTAACCTTCCCAATACTGCTAAAGTTTATTGCCTAAAAATTGTCCAAATTTTGTTTTATTAAACAATGTTGTTTTAATGGGGAAATTTACTTTAGTTTACTTAAAGAAATAGTCCACCCAAAACTGAAAATTTACTTATGAGTTTGTTTCTTCATTGGAACAGATTTGGAGAAATTTAGCATTACATCACCAGTGGATCCTTTGCAGTGAATGGGTGCCGTCAGAATGAGAGTTCAAACAGCTGATAAAAACATCACAATAATCCACACCACTCCAGTCCATCAGTTAATGTCTTAAGTGAAAAGCTGCATGTTTTTGCAGTTTTAACGTTATAGCTGCATTATGGCGTTTTAACTTTAAACCGTGGCTTCTGGCAAAAATATGACTCCATAATCCATAATAACGCCTCCTCCAGTGAGAAAGTCCATCCCCTGTTGTCCTCTCACATCAAAATCCACCCACATATTTGTTTAGAACTGTTTTGGACTTTCTCGCTTGTAAACGTTGCTTAATCTGTGTATATTTCTCTTCTGATAATATTGGAGAAAGCAATATTATGGATAGAAGACTCATATTTTAGTCGGAAGCAATGGTTTGAAGTTAAAAACATCTTAATCGCTTTTCACTTCACAAGATGTTAACTGATGGACTGGAGTGGTGTGGATTACTGTACTGTTTTATCAGCTGTTGGCATTCTGACGGCACCCATGTTGACTTTAAATAATGCTTAAAGTGTTTATTTGTAAATATGTAAAATGTTAGTTTTGTGTTTGAGTTAGCATTTAATTATAAATGTAAGAATTCAATAAAGAGGAACAAATAAAAAGCCTTAGGTTATAATCTTTATAATAGTATCCACAATGTACAGACATAAAGTAATAAATATTTTCTGAAGCTGCCGGCAAACCATAACAATGGAGCCTGGTTCCTGCCTGCAGAGACAAATATATTTTGTAGTAAAATGACAGATTAATAACAGATCGACAATTACTATATGCAATTCTTTTTAGCTACCAAAGCATATTTAGTTAAGAATAACGACATTGTTTGAACTAGCTTACCTCTGTGCTCAAGCATGAGTTCACCTTCATACTGAGCCATGCCAAGTGCTTGTCTTTGTTCGCTGTCTAATTCTGCCCACTGCTCCTCTGTCACGGCACACGCTTGTTCAGAGCTCAGCCAAGACAGCTGCGTGGCACTGAATACAACCTGAAATAATGAGAAACATGATGAACCAATGTTGGCAACAATTTGGGGTCTTCCTTGTGTTGATTTTTGGTTGGAAGCTCTCAGTTTAAGGTAAGTCATTTAGAGAAACACAAATAGCACATTCAAAGCCACTACAAATTATTTTTACTATACACACAAATTATATTCAAAACTACATGTTTTTTTTTATTGCTTAAACAACCCACCAATCAGGTAATTGACCTAAACTGTGGATAACCTGCACATTAATGCTGGTTTAAGGTTCACATGGTCCTGCTTGGATGCTTTTCTTAGGACATATTTATATAAGGAGTGTTACTGCATTCATAAACAACAAAAATGCATGTTTTTAAAAGTGTTTTTTTTTTTAAACCAGATATATGGCATCTTAATGTGGAACCACGACCAAAGCGTTTGCCTGAATGTATATGGCTCTAGCAGGGGTGCTGTATAGGGGAAGAATTGAAAGATGAAAGTTTTCTGAGACAGTTTTAACATAAACTGTCTAAAGGTTTAGTCATGTTTACTGTTCTTCTGCAAATTTAATGGGCAATATCCAGCCATTTTAATAGGAAAGATTGAGAATTTCACTTGAAGGCGAAAGATTTCCCTGTGCAGATTTTGCAGCTGGTTCAATCACACAGATTTGGTGCGTTGACCAATAGAAAGCTGCTCTGTTTGAAAGCTACTTCTCTGTGAGATATGCTTCATACAATGCAACACAATTGACAATAGACCTTTTTTGTGTTCACGTTTACAGGTTTTTTGGTGAATTTTTGGGGAATGCATGCGATTGAAAATTCTGCATGGAGGCATAAGATTTCCCCGTGCAGATTTTGCAGCACATTCATACTTGTCACACAGATTAGGCACATTTCCCAACAGAAATCTGACTGGTTTGAAGTGACTTCTGTGTGAGCTGTGCTTCAAAAATGCTACACTACTGACAATGATGGACAATAGATTTTGTCAGTAGCGTAGAGATGTATGAAGCACTTCTTAAACAGAAGTTGCTTTAAAATCAAGCAGCTGTTGGTCAGTGCATCCAATTGCAAAAGTGCATGACCAACATGAATATAAGCGTAATCTGCGTGGTGAATTTTTTTGCCCCACACAAAACACTCAATTGCACCAATTCTTAATGGAATGACTGGATTTCGTCGAGCAGTGGTACATGTGACCGCACCTTTA